GAGTAAAAGTTGCACAAATAAGTCTTGGTTCCTACTCACCAATTCAATTTCCATTATGGAGGTTTTTGAAACTCTTGGTCTGAAAATCCCTAATACAATATTGATTGATGGAGTCTCAGAGAACCCCACAGATGAACTTATTGATTTTCTTGAACAGTATGGTGATATTAAGCAGAGAACTACCATCGATTTATGTGAATCAGAATTTGATCAAATGATGGTTGTTGAATTTGATTCTGGATTGTCTTTAGCACGCTTATCTCCAATATTACCATATACATTTACATCATGTGTGGGTGATAAATTTCATATTGAAAGTTTATCTGAGATTTATGCCTCAAAGGTTGGTGGATTAAAGACAAACAAGTATTTGGCTGATTTACAAGAAATTGCCAAGATGTCTGGAAAAAATTACACTCAAGTTCTCACAGAAGTGATGTCCCAGATACAGCAGTCTATTGCAGAGTTCTGTCCTGTGGTCCCAGAGAAGGCAAAAGAGGAACAACAACAACTTGCAGATGAAGAAGGAGGGCAGCAGCCATCAGCTCATGCTACAACTCAACTCCCTTTTCCTCTGTCATCCCTTTCACAGTCAGCTCCTCTCCCATCTGGTTCTTCTGTCTCCGACAGAGCTGAAGTGCCAAGTCAGAAGAGGCGGTCCACATCTATTTCTGCTGGTGATCTTAGTCCTCCTGAGGTGCAACGGTACGTTGTGGAGCATGTTGTTAGGAGTGGGGACAGCTCTCTACATATGCACACATCCAATAGACTTAGGGCATTCTCTGGAAAAGTCCCCAGGCCAAGTCATGAGACGGACTATGACACGTGGCGGTCGAGTGTTGAATTAGTTCTTCAAGATCCCTCTATGTCACAGTTGCAATGTACTAGATGAATTTGTGATAGTCTACTTCCTCCTGCCTGTGATATAGTGAAACATTTGAGTCCTGACACGTTACCAAAAGTATACATGGAACAACTTGATTCAGCCTATGGAACTGTTCAAGATGGGGAGGAGTTATATGTTAAATTCATGGACACCTATCAGGACAGTGGAGAAAAGCCATCTGCCTATTTGCAGCGTCTGCAGGTTGTGTTACAGCATGCAGTGAAGAGAGGAGGTGTTTTGGAGAAGGACATGGATGCACGACTGTTGACCCAATTCTGCAGAGGCTGTTGGGACAACAATCTAATCTCAGAACTTCAACTTAAACAGAAAAAAAATAATCCACCGTCATTTGTGGAGTTTTTGTTGTTACTTAGAACTGAAGAAGACAGGGAAGCAGCAAAGACCTTGAGGATGAAGCATCATTTGGGAACCACTAAACAGAAGGTTGCATCTCAAGTTCAGTTTGCACATACTGATCAGGAAACTAACTTGTGTATTGCTTTGAATAACATGACTAAACAGCTTTCACAACAGATGGCTGCAATACAGCAGCAGCTCACTGCTTTAACAGCAGGTCAAATGGGCACTAAGCTACCTTTTGCTGAAAAAATTACTCCAAAGCCTAGTGTGAAAAAGACTGTTAAAGATGTAAAATTCTGCATTTCTAGCTCTAAACCTGGGTTTTGTTTCCGTTGTGGGGAAGATGGCCATGTTAAGCCTCAATGTGATAATGAGCCCAATCCAGCATTGGTCAGTGCAAAGCGGAAAATATTTTATGACAAACAGAAGAGACAGAAACAAAATCCCTCTCCTTCAGCACATTTAAACTAGTTCCAGTTCCTGTTGAGGGGCGAACAGGAGCTGAGCTGGACCAACTTTGTCCCGCAAAGAGAGAATCTGTTAAGTGTGCGAAGTTGCAGACAAAAACCAAAACTAACTTACCAAAAGGATTAATTGGATCCAGATGTACAGCAGAAGTCAACATTGCTGGCCATAGCTCTCAATGTCTTCTGGATACCGGCTCTCAAGTCACTACAATTCCAGTTTCTTTCTTCAATGAGCATCTTTCAGGTCAACCAGTTCACTCATTAAATGACCTACTTCATGTTGAAGGGGCTGCAGGTCAACAAGTTCCATATTTGGGTTATGTTGAAATACCAATAACCTTTCCAAAAGACTTTATTGGGAGTGAACTAACAGTTGAAACCCTTGCTTTGGTTGTTCCTGATGTGAGAACTGGATTTCCAGCTTCAGTATTAATTGGCATGAATACACTTGAAATTCTGTATGAAAAGTTTTGTTCCAGTGATTGTCCAACATTTCAACCTACCTCATATGGGTTTAAAAC